ATGAATGTTGAAGGAAGAAGAGGTAGAGGAAGACCAAAAAAAAGATGGAGGGATGTTATTGAATGCAATATGAGGACAGCTGATGTGAGGATAGATGATATGGGAGATCGGTTCAAGTGGAAGTTTAGGATAAGGGTGTCCAACCCCAAGTAGTTGGGATTAAGGCTAAGAAAAAGAAGAATATGTAATATAGTGTACTATGAAAAAAAATTCGGACTTTATTTTGTTTTCATTGTGATAACGGACATCAAAGTTAATAAAAAAATATGATTTTTTCACCAAATTACAATATTAAATTATTCAATACAAATTTCATACTATATTATATTGCTATAATAAATATTAATTCATATATTACACTTATAAATCGACATACTTTATCTTAATCAGGATATAAATAAAGAATTAGCAGATCACGTAACTTTTAAAATAATCCACCAAATTTTTAAAATTAAACACTAATTACAGATTTGCATCGAAGCGTTTTTTATGATAGTGATTTTAATTACTGTCAGATATCATCTATACTTGACCCAACTATGCCACGTCCCCACTGTGCCGCAATTCCTACTCTGCTGGATTTTTTAGTTTTAAATTAATAATATTATTAATATAGTTTTAATTTTAAGTAATATTAGACACAAGTGATCAATCTTTATTATATATTAGAGCAATTAAATATAATATGAAATTGATATTTAATAATATATTATTGAAATTCTTACGGGGAAATTATAAAAAAAATGATTAAATAGTTGTTATGTTATGGCAAACTTGTATAAAAAATTAAAGGGCTTGGTCCAAAACATTTCAGAAAACAATTAGTTGTTAATTATGAAAAAATTGTAAAGAAGGAATTTTTATTAGTCAAAAATATACTTTTCTTGATAAATTTTTCGCACTGATTTCAAATCTGCATTTAGATTTTTCTACCACTACTAAATTTTGCTATTATTACTAATTAGTTAAAAACAATTATTAACATATAAAAAATAAACACAAAAATATAGGTTAAAATTAAATTTAACATCACAACAGCGGCCGAAATCATAGGTGAAACTAGGCACACAATATTTCTGAATGTCAGTATATTATAGAATACTATAGGATATAACTTTACGAGAATTTTTTTGATTTTTTAAAGGCAATGTCTTTAACTAGGTACTATTTGCTTTAATTTAAGATACATATATAAAAGTGTCAGTATTTTCGGAATATTTTCAATAGTTAAGTTGAAAAAGTTAATATTTTGTGCAATAGTTGAAATTTTGAATCCCTCCTATGAGCAGGTAAACTGTTTAATTTAAAAAAAAAACATATAATAGGAAACTCCGAAGGTATATTTGTAAAAAAAAATTATTTTATAATTATTAAATTTTGATTTATTCCTTTTTCAAAAAGCTATAGCAGTTTTAAGTAAAAAAAAGAAAAATTAAAAAATGTCCAAAATTACCAATTTTAAAAATTAAAAATTTTCTTTATTTACAGTGGACTAGGGAATTTTTTTCAATTTTTATAGGTATGTCTTCAACTAGATACGATTTGTGATATATGACGTATAGTTGAAAAAAAGCGGCTCGACGAAAGCTGAGAAAAAATGGCAATAGACACAAAAAAAAACACATTACAATAAAATTAATACCTTCTCAGCTTCACATCGAAGCTAAAATTTATAAAACTGTTAAAAATATATTTTTTTGTTAAACTTATAATACCCAAAACATCAAATTATTTAACAAACAAACAATTATTTTGTACATAATAGTGTTGTACGACAATATAAATATTGAAATCATAATCGGTTTCGATATTAGTGATTACTATATAAAGTATATTTTATATTATATTGATTATTATAAACACTATTATGTTAATTATTTTCATATAAAATATAATATATAAATTATAATAGTCAATAATCTATTCAAAGACAATGCTAATAGAATGTATTATAATTAAACATTTTTACTTATTTGGTTATTTTAAACTGTAAATTATTAATTAATTATTTTAATGAAATACCTATCTACACATTAAACAATTTAAGAAATACATAATTTGCCACTGTGTAAGGTTATGTGTTAAATTGATATAGAAGCATTAATAACACTATTTTATAACATGTAAATGAATTTGTGATAATTATTTTAGAATTTTAAACTAATATGGTGGTTATTTGTAACGGAAGTTTGAATATATTTTAAATATATTGGTATATTTAAATGTACCTAAAGGTCAATCAAAGCGGACCCAATTTAATCAATACATCCTATTTAGTTTAGATTATTTTTCTGATTATTCTTTTAGTACTAAAACAAACAAAAATATGTACTAAAGTATTTTAATTTATATTTATATTTAATTTAATAAATAATATAGATAGTTTTTAAACAAAATAGTAATTTTTACTAGTTTTCTATGGCATTTATTTTTTGGTGCTAGAGGAAATATATTTTGAAATAACTTAGATTAAAGCTTTAGAGGTTTCACAATATTGTTAAATGTTATGTTGTGTTAATACAACAAAGAAAATGGGTCAAAATATTGATATAAACCATACAAATTTTTATTTTCGTCCTGTGTTATTGGTTACTATTCATATATAATTTTTTTTTTTCTTTTTATGATATGGTGTAAAATTAAATCAAAAGATTTTGTAATACAACAATGAAAAAATATGTCTTCTAATACAATAACAATAAAGAGATTGTAATGATTATCATATGCCTTTAAGCATTGTTCTTGTACAGCAAACAAGGTATTTTAAGACATCTTGAAATTATCCCATCTTTTAAGAACCTTTCTGTATGTCGAGAGAATTAAAATGAACAAATTCTTTTTGTAATCCAATTTAAGCATCGCTGCAATATTTTCTAAAGTCGTTATTATAACGAATACTAAATAATAAATGCTAATATTGTATATTAAGTAATATTATATAGTCATATTGACAAAATATTCTTTCTGAGTTCCGAAAAAAATATTTTTTTGAAACTCAGGCGTAACATTGCGTCTCATTACTTTGTAATATTTTTTGTTAATCAAATTCTACCATAGCAGCAACGTTTTGTGATTTCGATTGTTTGATAGTGGGATATTTAATTAAATAGCGTTTAAGTCATGACATAAACTATGAAATGTGATGAAAACACTAGTGTTAATATTTTGCACTGGTGTACACGGCGCAGGCAATGGCTGAAATAGGTTTCGCTTGCAGTCAAAGCTGTAAGCCTTTGGTGCTCCTTTCGTCAGTATGTGTAGCGGCTTCCTATGGAAATTACATCTTGCCGTGAATTAGCATTGACCGACATATTCTACGATGGTTCGTCGAGAGGTGGCTGTTTTATTTCGTGTATCCGCATCAGCCTTTTTCGCTTTCGTTTTATTTACAGTTGATGCTCAAGCAATATGATATTTATATATTAAATTGGAGTCAGCAAGAAGCATAAACCAGACAAGACGGAAGCGTACCAAATGCGGTTGGATCTATTGTTGTTTTTATTTTATTTTCAATGATATATATATGTACATATTGTAGGTGTGATAACACATATTGATTTAACGTGTCTTATATTTATAGTTCTTAAAATATGGGTTTGTCGAAGTAATTTATATATATGAAAAATTTTTAAGTCTTTATAAGTCTTCTGAAATTGTATTATACTAATTTTTATTTTTTTGTAAGTAAAGTTTTAAAACGTCCCAGTGTGGACGTGCCATAGTTGGGACAAGTATAGATGATATGTGTTTAACATTTATTTAATAAAAAACGCTTCATTTCTGTTAAATTATGCAATAATTTGTATATTTTTAATAAATCAATTTCTATGTTTTCAAATTTCACTCGAATATTAAGTGCTTGCTAAATTATTTACTTAATTAAAAATTATTAAATTTTTTTTTAAATTGCAATTTTTACTTTGATGGCCGATTTTTCATAATATAAAAATGGTAAGAAAGAATATTTTTTTATTGTAGTAAATTTCAAAAGCTTTAAATTAATATAGGTTAAAAGTTGTCAGACGTTTTAGAATATTTTTAAAAATTGAGTTGAAGAAATTTTTATTACATGCGTTAATCACTTTTAAACCCTTTCTATACTTATGTGTTTCAATGGGTTTTCATAAAAAGTATATCAAAAGAAAAATTATTGTTTTTAGTATACCATATTAAAATTTCAATAAGTTAATTTTTTTTATAGTAGTAGTTTTAAAATACAAAAAAATTGATTAATGCTATTTTTACAATAGCGTAATTTTGAGATTTTTTTTCTCAATTTTTATAAATGAAGGTTTTTCTTTTTAATTTTCGACAGCGATAGGTTTAATTAGTTTGAAATCGGGTTCTTTTGATATATTAATCATTGAAAGCGGTCCAGTGAGTGTTGTGAATTTTCATGGACAGTCTAAAAAAAATGCATATCAAGGTAAAATCTTCTCAGCTTCCTATTGAAACCAAAATAATATTTTTGTTCTAGAAAATTTGGATTCTATCCAACGTTTGTTAGTTTTTTAGGAAAATGAATTTGTGGAAAATTAATATCTCTACTAGAATTATAAGAATTTATAATTTGAAATTACAACTTTAGCTATAATATTAATTTGAAATGTAACAAATATATAATAAATAAAACTTAATGAAATTTTATTTTAAATTTGTAGGTAATAAAATGCCAATTTTTGATACATTAAATATATTATTAAATGAATATCTAAACAAAACAAGATTATTAAAAAATTTTTAAAAAACAATTTTTTATCTTATATCAATGTAAATATTGTAAAATTGGGGTCTTTCAAAAAAAAAAATATATATATATATATATATGTATTGGTTATTCTTCGATCACAAATAATTTTAATTTATTTATCAAAATAGTTTGTAATATTTGTATTATTATTTTGTAACCAAATAAAAAATCCACAGGTTGTTTGATTAATATTCATTACCCCTCCAATACAAATTGGATAAATTTGTTAGATACGGTATAAAACAAGTTAGAATTTTATTTTGTCGGTTATTACAAACTGAGCAACTGTGATTGAAGCTAGAAAAAATGCACCCACTAATATTTAATATTTTTATATTATTATTTTTTTCGTTTCTGGCATTCAATGAGTGCTCTCGTGATAATGATACTAACACTAATACAGAATTTCCTCCGTTGACAGAAGGTTTTTTGGCGTATATGATGGAAAGTATTGAATGGGAATCTAAAGAACCTAAAGATCAAAAAAACTTGCTTCGGGAGTATGATTTTATCGTGGTTGGAGCAGGGAGTGCAGGAGCTGTTTTGGCCAACAGACTGTCAGAGGTATGTAGTAATATTTTATCAATTATAATTTTTATTACAACTTTTAACATGTTTTTACACAATTAAATGATAAAATATTGAGTTTTGATAAAATGTATTCAATAAAAAACTGTATGACTCTAATTTGAACATGATTTCATCTTCACAACATTAAAAATAATAACGGATACAAAAATCTTTATACTTAGGTTCCCGAATGGAAAGTTTTATTAATTGAAGCTGGTCAAAGAGCTACTCATTTAATGGATATACCAATTACAGCAGTTTACCTGCAAGGGTTGGATATTGATTGGAAGTATAGTTCAATACCGATGAATAATTCTTGCTTGAGTACTGAAATTAATTATTTTCAATACTATTATATTATACATATACTATTAATGTGTTATTATTTAAGGGGTAGTATCCATCTATTAAATAATATATTTTAGGTTTTGATGATCGTCGCTGCAAAATTCCAAGAGGAAAAGTGATGGGTGGAAGCAGTGCTATCAACTTCATGATATATACTAGGGGCAACAGAAGAGATTATGATAACTGGGCTGCAATGGGTAATGAAGGTGTGTAAAATATATGTTTATGCTTGTCGCATAACATTAATTTATTCAATTTTAAAATTGTTATCATTGTAGGTTGGAATTACGATCAAGTACTAAAATATTTTATAAAATCGGAAAGAGCAAATCTGTCTCAAAGTGAGGAGATGTTCCACGGTAAAGACGGACCTTTATATGTATCAGATATTAAATTTAAGTCAAATATAGCCAAAGCTTTCGTTAAGAGTTTATCACAAATTGGGCATCCTATTATTGACGTAAATGGGGAAAAGCAAACAGGAGGAAATTATTTACAGGTAATTATTTTTAATAGTATAAACGTTAAACGAGTTATCCAATTACATGAAAATATATCGTATTATATGTAATTAATAGTGAAAAGTGGGACTAGCTGTTATAGTTTATATATTTTTATTTTTATGAATTTTTCCGGTTTAAATTTTTATATATTCAATTTAATAATTATAATACGAAAATAAAATGTTTTACTAGAGCTAATAAAAACGTAAAATTTAGTTTATTGTGTTATAAGTCGTTACATACTGAGTGCTAGTTGTTATAATATAGTTTTTTTCTAAATATTGCTTTAAAAATTAAATGTTTATAATAATCTTAATAACATATTATGAATTAAGTTTTTTATAATAATGAATTCTAGCATTCGATGATAGTGACAATGACAATATAATATGAGTTTAGGAGTTTCTACATTTTTGCTAATCGTGATTCATTACACAATGAAAAAACCTAGTACAGAGGGAACGTGACATAGTTGGAACATGTATAGATGATAGTGATTAACATCACTTTTATAAAACACACTTCGATGTGAATCTGCAAAATATTTTCTTGAAAAAATACATTTTAAAATCAAATAACACATTGAAAAAATATCATCAAAAAGATTATTTTTAACCATTGAAAACTTTTAAAAAGTTTTAATTTAATTTAAATTTTAATAAACAAGCATAAAAAATGCACATTATCACAAAACCAATTCCTTCCCAGTTTAAAATAAGCTAATATTTTTTTTTAATATTTCGATGTTCGTAGGTTTCATAATTTTGGTAAAAAACTTTTTTTAATTGGAAGGGCATGCCTCTTTTTATCTAAATATCACAATTAGTAATTTGTTGAACCTATTACATAAATTTGAAAAAAAGTTTTTCGTATTCCAAAAATTTAAAAAAAAAAAAACATTAAATAGTTTTCATATCAATGACTTTTTAAAACTAGGGTATATATTTAGTATTTAAATTAATATTATATGACTATCATATAGTTTGATATTTACCATTAGAAGTTATCACTTTTATAGCATAGAATATTAGTACATGCTATTGAACAATTTTAAAAGTAGCTTTTCCGTTAATGTTTTGGCAAAATAAGATGTGCAGCTCAAAATTAGTTGCTTACATTTGGATCGTTGGAGTAGCATGATAGAGAAATATTTATAATTTCCGAAATATTGGCTCAATAGTTATAATCGACCAGTCAATTCTTCAGTTAGATATACTAATATTTATACTAAAATAAATGTGTATAAATATAAATATTCTCTAAAATAAATGATGTTAACATTTTATAAGTTATAAGATGTTAACTTCATTTATTTTATAAAGAATAGAATTAAAAAGTATTTAAATCATGATTTAGCAATCGAAAAATAAATGTTTATAATTATACAAATCAAAATCTACAATAAATCAATTACTCCCTAATTATATAAATGTTATTTTAATAAAAATAACATTTATACAATTGTGAAGACATTGCATAGTTAAGAATTTATCTTAAATATGAGGAATGTCAAAAAAATGTACATAATTTTTTTTTAGGTCACCATGAAAAACGGTCGAAGATGGAGTACTAATTCGGCTTTCTTGTTTCCAGCAAGTAAAAGAAAGAATTTACACGTAAAAAAATATAGTACAGTTACCCGAATATTAATCGATGAGGTTACAAAAACAGCGGTTGGGGTGGAATTTGTGAATGAGCGTAAAAAATATAGAGTTTATGCTAGAAAAGAAGTTATAGTTAGTGGTGGTGCAATTAATTCACCACAATTACTAATGTTGTCAGGCATTGGACCTGAAGCTCATTTGAAAGAAAAAGGCATTCCTGTGTTGAGTAATTTACCAGTAGGTGAAAACTTAATGGATCATATATCACTTGGAGGACTTTTTATTTTAATAAATGATACAGTGTCCTTGAAAACTGATAGGTTGCTTCAAGATCCGTATATTATGCAAAACTTTTATATGGGTAATGGTGGCCTGTGCTCAGTGGCAGGTGGAACAGAAGCGTTGGGATTTTTTGACACAAAAAATCCAAATAAATCAGATGGACATACCGATCTTGAATTGCTATTGTTTTCTTCTTCGTACACTTCTGATGTTTCAGCTCACAAATACTTTGGCCTTCGAACGGACATCTTTAATAAAGTTTATAATCCAGTTGCGGACAAAGACAGTTTTATGGTGTTTCCAATGGTCATGCGCCCTAAAAGTAAAGGTCGTATTTGGTTAAGAGATACTAATCCCTTCCATCATCCATTTATTGATCCTAATCATTTTTCAAACAAGGCCGATTTGGATGTGATAGTGGCTGGCGTTCGTATTGTTCAGCGAATGTTAAAGACAGACGCTATGAGAAAACTTGACGCCCAAATATTGACAACTCCGTTGCCTGGTTGTACCAAATACGTTTTTGATTCGAACGCCTATTGGAAATGTGCAGCCCGACAAATTAGTTTTTCCATTTATCATCTATCGGGTACGTGTAAAATGGGACCAGTTGGTGATCCCACTGCGGTAGTTGATCCAAGACTTCGTGTTCACGGTGTCAAGCGTTTGAGGGTCATAGACGCTTCAATTATGCCTGAAATTCCAGCTGGTCACACAAATGCACCTACCATTATGATCGGAGAAAAAGGGGCAGATATGATTAAAGAGGATTGGGGTGCCACTATTGTAAATAATGTTTAGATGCAATTGAATATTTTATATATAATTATTATTTATTTGTTAAATAATGATTTATTGATAAAAATTTTATTTATTTTTATGAATTATGATAAATATCAATTTTATTGTAAAACAATTATTTATTTAAGATTAGTTTTTAGGGGTAACTTTCGAAAGATAGCTCTTCATATTAGGAATAGTTATATATTTTTGTCTTTTTAATTTAAATATATTTATTATGTTCAAGAAAAATTGTCTTATGAAAATAATGTTTAAATTAACAATTTTAACAACTCATAAGTTGTTGTTGAAAACATTCCTTACACATTTTTCAGTGATTTTCTAATGAGCTCTGTTCATCTGTGTGTAAAAATAATCTCCATGAAATATTTAAAATTACTGGTTTCAAACTATTTTCGTTGAATTTTCAAATTTAAGAAGGAAGTGTTTTTAATAAAATTACTAATTACTTAAACCGTATTTAGGATACTCTTATTTTTAATTAAATTTGCTTTTATAGATATGTGAAAGATATAAAAATTGTAATTTTATTCTAATCACTATGGTCCATAGTGATAAAACATTAGATAATATTGGATGAATCGATAGTATATTTTGCTTCAAATTATTCACTATCCAACATCATAATTACAAATTGTTCAGTTGATATTGAAGAAGTAGAGAATATTTCTAGCTGTAGTCAGTCTATTGCCGAAGTTTTTGACGGGCTATTGTGATTTGTTCTCACGCAAAATTCGAACCAGATTTGTTTCCTAAACCAATGAATTTTTTACTTTCATTATCTCAGACAAATGGTGCATTTCTTTTTTGTTAAATGTTTTTTAATATTAATGGTGTTTAGACAATAATTAATTGAAGATTTAGATGTAGTTTTATTATTCGATTACTTTATCTTTTATTGAGCACGTCTTACTGATGTACAACAAATATGAGTTTTGTTCATTGGTGTGTTTGGATTAATTAAAAAAAATTATAAATGAATATTGTTGCTGTCCTATTTATAAATCTAACTTTAAACTCTTCTTACATTCGATTGATTTTGGTTATTAAGTATCAAAACACTTGAATAATATAAGGGTAATGGTGTTGCAGATATATCATTTAATATACTAAATTTTTGAAAATGTATATGATATAGATAAGTAGATTAATTACTCCTATTTCTTCTGAGATATTTGAACTTAAAATATAAATTAAAAATTATTATTTTATAGAGAAGTAAAACACTTGTAAAATGTTATTCTACACATGACATAAAATATACTACATTTTAAAAGATATAAGTAATTTTAAATTTAATTGTAGCGTTAATCAGTAGCACGAATAGAATTGTTTTTGAAATCTGAAGTTGTTATGAAAAACATTTTGGAAAAATATTACAAAATATCTAAAATAGGTACCCCAAAAAATTTGTTCAGAAAAAAAAATTACTTCATTAGTTATACGAAAACACATTTCGTGTCAAGGAAAACGCTCTTAAGTTTCTTATTCATTATTATGTGTTTCGTGAAGACTCAAAATTATTGATTGAATCTTACTCAATACATTATTTCTTATGTAAAATACCCCTTTAAAAAATAAAAATACAACATAAATTACATTAAGGTCTGTACAATAGTTTTGTATTATAATGTAAATTGTTTTTTATGGTTGGTATTTGTTTAAATTGTATCTTATACAAGTGATTTTTTTAACGCTTGTCATTCAAATTTTCTTAAAATAATTATTATTTTAAGAAAATTGTTGAATGATATAACTCTTGGTTTATCAGAAAGTATTAATTTTACTTTAATGTGTTTATTTTATCGTATATCTGTTAATAATTTTCTCAGCTCTCATTGGACAAATATTTTTAAACAGATTTTATATAGTTGAACACATCCTCTCAAACAATTTTTAAAATCGATAAATTTTAATATTTTTAAAACGTTTTTGGTGTCAAAGCTGAGAAGATATTAATTTTACTATGATGTATTTTTTTAATGTGTATGTTATCCATGTGTCTCATGGTCGGTACAGCCAGACTTATTAATATTTTTGGATATTTCCGCTATAAGAACAATAATTTCATATATATTAGCTTAGATGCGAAGCTTAGAAGATATTAGTATTACTACGATGTATTTTTTTTTTTGTATCTGTTACCACTTTTTTTCAGCTCTCACCAAACCAATTTCTTTCAAGAATACATCATAAGATCACAAATCGTATCTAGTCGAAGTCATTACCCTCAAAAATTGACAAATTTCCCTCTTTCCCCGTAAATGGGGGAAATCTCATAAGAATTTACAAATTAAAAATTGCTAATTTTTTCAATTTTTGTTACCTAAAACTGCCATAACTTTTTTAAAGATGCTTTATGTCATTACTTAGCATTTGGTATATTTTTTTTATAAATCTGATCCTTTCACAGGAAGGGATTTAAAATGACAACTTTTTCACAAAAAATTAACTTTTTCAACTTTAATTTTGAAAGTGTTCCGGAAACTCTGACACTTTTATATATATATTATATTAAAGATAATGTAATATACTTTATTATGGAAAAAAAAAATGTCGGACTTTATTTTGTCTTCACGGTGTAAATAGTTACCGAATGATATTTTTGTGTTAAAATTTTAGATTTTATTTTTTTAACTTTAAAATGCTATAACTTATTAAAAAGTGTATGGATCAATACAATTTTTTTATGAGAAATAATATTTATATCCCTCTTTCATTATACGTACTTTATCTTAATCAGGATATTAATAAGGAAATAGCAGATCATATAGCTTTTGAAATAATCCACCAATTTTTTAAAATTAAACACTATCTAAAGATTTTCATCAAAGCGTTTTTTTTTTATAGTGATTTTAATCACTGTCAGATATCATTATACATGACCCAACTATTGCACGTCACCACTGTGTCGCGACCCTCTTGTGTTGGTTTTTTATCACTCCTTTGTTTTTATTCTATTTTCATAATTATAGCAATAAAAAAAAATTTAATATTCATTATTCTATGAAGACGAAGACAAACAAGTTATTTAACAGGTTAAATCTGGTATTTGACAGAAACTTATCTTCGATAATGAGTCTAATGATTATCAAAGAGAATATTTTTTAAAGAATTTGATCATTTATAAAAAATGTATAGTGATGAGGTTATTTAATGAAATTAGGAAATTAATTATAAGTATAAATTAATCTAAATTTTGCCTATAATCTTATTTTTTTAACCATTAACAATTCAGTAAGCTTATTCAGTTTATTAAGTATAATTTTTTTCATTTTATTTTACAATTGTTAGTGTAAGAATCTTAACATTAAGGTCGTTATGTAAATTAAACGTGTTTTTCTAGTTCAATTTACAGTATATAAATTAATTAATGACTTCCTTAGGTATTTGTTATCCTTATGTAGGGTGATTGATTAAGGTTATGGCCATTTTTTATTCGACAAATCATTCTTCTACTATTATTTGCTAGATAAAGTTTAAATATTTGACCAATTTTCTATTGGTAATTTTCTGTTGATGAATAACAAGAATAAATACTGACAATAATAGATGGCTTATTGTTATCTCCAGTATTATGAAAATCAAATTAAAAATGAATTTCTATTTAATAAACAAATTTTTATTTAGTTTTAAAACGGAAATGATTCATCGGTTTAAAATATATATATAAGAACAAAATTGTTTGAAATTTTTAAACTAAAAATATGAAAATAAGATTTTTTTGATCATTCTATATATTTAAATCCATTAAAAAAATTGTTTCATTAATTATTCTAAAAACTATACATATTGAAAATACAAATCTGAGGTGACATATGCTGTTATTGACCGTATTAAAGTTATTAACACTAAAAAATATTTTGATTGATAATTATTTTTGGTTTATATTAAATATATTTCAAACGACACAATAAAATTATTTTGATGAACTTTAAAATGCTACAAAAATTTAAGTACAAAACATCAATAAGAAATTATTTTAACACGTTCCTCTTAAAATGTCATATATAAAAAAATAATCCTGCACCACAAGCTAAAAACGTGTTTTTCAACACAAAAGAATACTTTTTAAAAATCCAGTTAAAACATATGCCCTTGACAATTATATAATTTTAATTATATACAGAGTGAATCCTAAATTTTATTGTAGAAAATTGACCTTAAAGTGTAATATACAATTTAAATAAGTATTTTCGTTTAAGTTAAGTTTGGAGATAAAAAATCGTACACACTTGGGACGTGACATAGTTGAGACAAGTATATATGATATATTAGGCGTATAGTTTCAAAACCAGCTAGACCATTCTTTGAATTTTTTCAGGAACAACAAAATAAAATAATGAGGTTAAGATTTAACTCGAAGATTTTATAATATATATGATATTAAAGCTTAGGAGTGTAAACACATTGTGAGTAAATATTTAATTTAACAAAATATTTTTAAGAGAGTTATTTAATTTTATAATTTTTATACAGCTGGTTTTGTTGCCAATTTCATCAGATGGCTGGTTTTGAATTCAACATTTTTTTTCCTGTATATATGGCTGGTTTTGAAATTGACTATGTGATATAGGTATTTTTTGAAACAAACATTGAAATAAAAACTAAATATTATATTTTTTACTGTACTCTTTAATCAATATAAAAACTTTACTTTTAAATTTAAATACTTAAAAATATTAATCAGTATTAATATCGTAGCGTAAAATATAATCATTATCAATTATTATTTTACCGCGAAGAAAAACATATAATTGATTATGGCTTCTTTTGAAATTGACATTGTTAGATGGGCGATTTTGAAACCAACCCCATATTTTTCCATGATTAATTTAAAACTGTTATAGCCTTTTTTAAGTACAATAATTGTACAAAACATTTAGTACAGTGTGACCATTTAGAAAATACAAAAAAAATCGTTTAAAAAAAAATCACTTATAGCTGATATTGAAACTATACGCCTCATATGAAAATGGTAAAAAGCAATATCATATAAAACAAAGCTTCAATGCAAATCTATAGATACAGTTTAATTTTTAGAAGGAATTGTTAAATTGCTCCAAAACTAATATGAACATCTATTTCCTTATTTATACCCTGATTACAAGTTTTATAATTATAATATAATACTTGGAAAATACTTATTATACCAATTAAATTTAGTATGTAATTCATACACAAAATTTACTATTACAATTGTTCAGTTATCATACTTACACCCAAAGAAAAACCTCAATCAATTTTGATAGAGAAATTTAATCAAGGGTTTATGATAATGTTTTATTAATACGAACAAAATAACTATTCTTATAAATAATTATTGTTCAAGATAAGAAAAAAAATATCATAATGATAAATATATCATAGGCTCAATAGTAATGATATATTTTTCAAATTGAACAATGAATTTATTATATAGATCGAGGTTTTTCTCTGGGTGTAGATAGAAACTTTCCTTAATACTCTGGGAATTTTTTAAATTTTTATCTAACCTAAAAAATATTAATAAACCTGATTCGTGCAATTATAATCTTCAATATTCGAGGATTTTGAGGGATTTAAATTTATTCTAAGACATTTGTTTGCAGGTGTTCTTGTATTATATGTACATTAAAAGCTACAAAAATCTTTGATAAAAAAATTTATAATTTAAACTTAAATCGTATTTATTTATTTTTGTATAATAGGAAAGGAAGTTCAATGGAAGTACTTGCCTCTGCGTTATATATGACTAATATTATTTTAACCTAATGTTGCTAAATAAAAAATAAAAAATTAATAAGTAAGTAAATAGTTGAAAAAAAATGAAAATTATAAAAAATTAAAAAACAGTGGTTATTTACGCAAAAATAATATCTTTTGTTGTTTTAACGTTAATTTTGGCGACCATTTGCAAATAGAAGATAAGGTGTCGGAACAATTTTTTTTTCAACGTGTAGTATATAGTAAATGCTTTAAATTATCATATGTTTAAAGAACGCAGTATTGCTAAAAAATTATGAAATTTTGTTGAAGTTAGATTTTTGTGCAAATGTTGTACTTTGTATATTTTAAGTATTTTAAAATCTCATTATATTGCCGTAATATATCGTCACTACCATTGACATGGGATAACACTAGGTTACCCTGTTTGTGTCCACAATAATGATATCTTATTATTTTTTCGTTTAAAATAATAACCATTTCTACTTATACATTATATTTATATTCTTAGAAAAATATAAATTCTTTTCAAACAAAAATTTATAAATAAACAACTTGGAGAAACATTCAACAAACACACACTAATTATATTCTAATACACACAATTCAATCATAAATTGATTAATAGTCACTTTTCAAAATCATTCCTTCCGAAAAGAAATCTATAAATTATTTTTGTCATCTTTTTATTATAATTTTAATAATTAAATGCACTGTATCAACCCTAATCTTATGTGTAATAAAACTATGTTAATGTTATATATAAAATGTCAAAATGATTTATATACTCTATTCATCTGTAATCATTTCTGTATTTTATGCTTACTTATCAATAAACAGTTATACTGTAAGAATTAGACAATGATGATTTTCAAGGATAAAAAGTATTATAAAAGGGCAGAGCAAACCCTTATTCTGGTCTTTTCTTTTCGTGCTCTAGACATTACTACGCTAACATTGTCGTCATCATTGTGGAAGTTCTTACGTGTTAAAGTTGTGAACTAAATTGAATTATGTTATATTATTCATTAATTATTAATTAATACTATTATTTAAGATATTATAAGAACTAAGAAAAAATTACTAGGTAAGATTTTTTTTAAATCCATAAGAGTTTATATTTATATTATTTCATAACCCTCAAACCACAACCCGAATTAAAAGTAACTCTCACTATTAATCTACACCCAGAGAAAAACCTCGATCTATATAATAAATTCATTGTTCAATTTGATAAATATATCATTACTATTAAATCTATGATATATTTATCAACATGATATTTTTTTTTCTTGTCTTGAACAATAATTATTTATAAGAATAATTATTTTGTTCGTATTAATAAAACATTATCATAAACCCTTGATTAAATTTCTCTATCAAAATTGATTGAGGTTTTTCTTTAGGTGTAACTCCCACTTTTACAAATTTTATCCTCACCACTTTTTTTATTTTTATTAATTTTTGAGTTATAATAGCATATAAAGTTAGATTTAAAAAAAACATTATATCAAATGATAGAAAAATACCTTCAGTATTTATAAAACAAATTTGTTTTGATTCATTCATTTTTCAGAAAGTTATGGCAGATAAGTAAAAGATGTCAAAAAATACTGATTTTAAAAATTGTTATTTTTTTAAGGATTTCCCCACTTACGAGGAACGAGTGAATTTTTTTCAATTTTTGAGAGTAAAGTATTCCAGTATATACGATTTGTGATCTTATGATGTATTCTTGAAAGAAATTGGTTTGGTGAGAGCTGAAAAAAAGTGGTAACAGATACAAAAAAAAAAAATACATCGTAGTAATACTAATATCTTCTAAGCTTCGCATCTAAGCTAATATATATGAAATTATTGTTCTTATAGCGGAAATATCCAAAAATATTAATAAGTCTGGCTGTACCGACCTCTGCTACATATTCACTCTATAAATTAAAATTATTATCAAGCCATTAATATTTTTTGTCAAAAAGGATTAAAAAATAGTTTTATTGTAAATTTATAAAAAATGAACTTTTTTTTAAAGTGAGACAAATAATGAAAAGTTTACTTTAAACGTACTTTAAAAATACAAAAAATTAAAAAAAATATATAACAAAATGATTATTAGATCATAAGTTATAAAAATTGTTGAATAGATCTGGTTCACCTATATATAAATATATATATACATTTTAATAAACTAGTAGTTTTAAGATATTTACAAACAATTTTTCATTCCAAGTAAAAAAAATAATTGAGTTGTAAGTTCACTGTAGTACACCGATTTATATTATTAAGTGATAATCAATTTTCTTTAGAGTAAAAAATTATTTAATAAATGACTCATTGTAGTTTTTTATAATTATAGTACTATGATTTAGTAACATTCTATTTTCCTTCTGAGGAAATTAACCTTTAGAGGTAGCGAAAAGAAAGTGATTACCCTAGCAAAAAAATATATATTTATAATGTCTTTAAAATCAGGGATATATTTTAAAATTTGACTACATAATTTTAGCTCTCCTAAATGTTTTAGAAAGTCTCATCATTTTTTTTTACGGAAGTGCTATTGTTTGTTTGATTTATCCTTAAAATGTCCCAGATGTTGATGATAATTCAAAAAATTTTATGGTTTTAAACTTTTATTGGTTTTTGTGTTAGCATAATTAATTTCATATCCATCATTAATGAGAAATAATTATATATTATAATTTGAAAATTAAGGCACATAGGCACACAAAAAATTTTTTTTACACATTTTATTGTTACTCCAAATTTTAGCCTAAGATAAATAATATCAAAACTTTAAATATTATTCTTAACTATTTAATAATTATTTGAGATCCTTATTTTAGAACTCAAATAGTGGTATAAATGAACTAAAAATCTAATTAATCAATTAAAATCATTGTATAAATCTTATATCATTATAATATATCAATATATACCTATTTGTATTAAATTAAATAAAGTTTACTTTGTTTTATTTTTTATTATTATTTATTTTTATTTTTAAGGACGTCTTTAATTTTTTCTTCGAGTTATTTTTTCTCCTTCAAACATGGTTTTTAGCAACTTAAAATTAAGATATACATAAATTCTTTAGTTTGCTTTCTTTTTTTTCCCATTATTATTTGGTATTTGTAACTAATTAATTTTGTAAATTAAAAAATAAAGCGTATATCCTTGAAATTTCAATTAATTTTACATTTTTTTGTTTGATTTAGAAAAATATAGGGAAAATAGAATTGTATCATCTTTTAATTTTCATAATAACATAAAATATTACACAATATTATTTTTTTTCGTCGTTACCATTAAAAAGTACAATTATATTTTTGTTTACATTAATACAAGCATTCTTAAAATATATAATAACTTATATTTCTGTCAGATTTTTAGCTGTAACTGGTTATTACTTATTATAAAACGAGCAATAATTTGTTCTATAGAGTGTGTAATAAGTAAGGAAACTGATTTCTATTGTTCTTATTATTTGTAGCAATTTTCTGTTTCCTTACTTACTGAACACTGTATATTGCTCAACTAATGGTTTAAAATTATATCACAAAGTTAGAGATAAAAATTTGATGTTTTTGGTCGAAGAAAGTTATAATTTATTTTAACAGTTTAAAAGTAAATGTTTGTCTTAATTTTTCTAATCAAAACTACTTTTTTATGTTAAATTAATTAATAAAATTTGTAAGGCTGGACAAATCAATGTATTGTTAAATTATCAAATTATAATAAATCAAAATATTTATTATTTAAGTTTAGTAAATAAACGTTGATGAACAAAAATTCAACTTAATTAAAAAAAAAAATTTATGTGTAAAAATATGTGTAGAAATACATTACACATGTTTTTTATTTTTTTCTTCATTAAATGGTTTTCTGTCTCCTGTAATACAAAATATTAACTTATTTACAAAAACCTACTTTGTCTTTTAGATAGCTCGAAATTTTAATATTCCGAAAAAATGAAAATTATTTTCAAACAAATAATTTTTAAAGCTTATTAAATTTTTATTCAATTATATATTTTATATTTTAACTTCGATAACAATTTAAATAAAAAATGTTAAAAATTGATTTTTTTACATTGCTTTATTGATTATTTTCCAAATTGAAGAGGTGTCAATAATTTTACATTTAAACATACGAAAAATTTGAAACCATCAGATAATTTTTACTGTTTGTTTTCTGAGATGAATTATATAATAACAGTCAGCGCCCTTCCAAAACACGAAATAATTTTGTTATAATGTTTTAAATAAAACAAGTATGAACGATTGTCCTCTTCGACATTTTACATTGGACTCTCACAGTTAAAGTTATTAACACTATGCGTTCGCTAATATTAAATTTTACTTCACTATTTTTCTTGACATTTCTTATTCAGATTGATTGTTCAAGACAATCCAGACAGAACGCTAAAAAGGAAAATTTTCCTCCACTGTCAGAATCTTTTTTGACATATATGATTGAGGCTATTAAATGGGAAGCTAAAGAACCAAAAGATAGAAAAATTGTTCTTCCGGAATATGATTTTATTGTGGTTGGAGCAGGAAGTGCAGGAGCCGTAGTAGCAAGCAGATTATCAGAGGTACGCATTATCATATCATTTATTATTTTTATTTAACACTTGAACACAAATTCAGAGGATACTTAGTTTTTGATCAATTCAAGATAAATGATAATTGAAAAGAACAATTATCAAACAATTAATTTGTGTCATAAAAAAAAAACCTTTTTATTAATTGTTATACTTTAAGGTACACGAATGGAAAGTTCTACTAATTGAAGCTGGTCAAAAATCCACTCATTTAATGGATGTACCAATTACAGCAGTTTATTTGCAAGGGTCGGATGTTGATTGGAAGTATAAAACAGTACCGATGAACAATTCTTGCTTGAGTACTAAAATTAATTTTTCTTAATGCTATTATAAAATACATATACTATTTGATATTACGTATGGTAACTTATTTATTTTAGGTTTTGATAAACGACGCTGCAAGATACCAAGAGGAAAAGTGATGGGTGGAAGCAGCATTCTGAACTTTATGATTTACAATAGAGGTAACAGAAGAGATTATGACAACTGGGCCGCATTAGGCAATGAAGGTGTGAAGATATAAATGTTTGAATTTGTTATACAATTTTAATTTTTTAATTCTTAATCTAATCCTGTAGGTTGGAGTTACGATCAAGTCCTTAAATATTTCATAAAATCGGAGCGGGACAATCTATCACAACGTGAAAAGAATTTCCATGGCAAAGATGGGCCTTTATGGGTATCTGATGTCAATTATAAGACAAAAGTTGCTAAAGCTTTTGTTAACAGTTTACTACAAATCGGACATCCTATTATTGATATAAATGGTGAAAAACAAATCGGAGCAAACTATTTACAGGTTAATAATGATATATTAAGAATACTTAATTTTTTTCATTAAAATAGTGTTTTATATTTGAGTGTTATACAGCATAAATTAGGCCTTATAGTAAAAGCTGAATAACGTCGATTTTAGTATAATACAAAATTTACAACAGGAGTAAGCACAGTGCTGGCGCAAAGTTTTGCGGGACCCGGGGCAAGTTAGCCGTGTGGGTTTTCTCTATTTCTGGGTTGAAATTTTTTAAAGACCTTTATTTGCTCAACGGACAAAAAAGTAGGTAGGCATTTAAACTAAACCAATGACCGAGGGTCCCGGGGCAGGTGTCCCGCTTGCCACGACACTTGCTCAGGCACTGAGTTAGCAATTTTTGAATTCCCAAGCAATACGATAACGTCATATAAAAGGGAACTGCAGGGTAAGCAAATTAAAATGGTTGGAAAAAGAATATAAAAAGGAAACGTGAAAAGGAGTGTGAGACTGGACGTTTTGACAAAGAAACGTCGAGTTACGGGTCAGGATGTTTGATGCGATCAACTTTGTATTTTGTACGATTTAATTTATTTTGTGTTACATTTTTATATTACAATTTGACTTTTTGTTGATTACGTTTCTTAAATAAAATAACTATCTAAAAACCTGCACTTAGCTTAAATATTTTATATTTTGTTAAAATTGTGTGTTTGTGTGCAGCAAGAGTCGAAGTTGAACTGCTGGTACTTTAGTCAATCTTAATAACAACGGCACACAAAAAAAAAAAGTTGTCTGTACTTTTGACCGGACCCCCCTACGGATATTTATTTTGACCCGTTGAATCCGAATTTGAAGTAAATTATAACAAAAAAAAAAACAAATTAAACTTTCCTATAAATCATAATCTATCAATAAATGCTATCGTACGTCAGTAGTATCCTGACGTAGACACAAAAAGTCGTACACAAATTAACAAATGTTCTTTGACGACGAGTTCGTCGTTTTTAGCTTTTCTCAAGTCCTCCCGTTGGATACACTGATCAGCCCCAATCCTTCAAATTTGTGAACTATTAAAGGAGTAGAGTTTAGACCCGTCAGCACAGTTTAGCTCAAAGTAGCAGACTGAAGGGTGGCTCCTCATCAGCCACCAGCACAACTACCTTTTCACTATATCTACTAAAGGACGGTAAATAACATTGCTATTTAGTGGTATCATATGATACCACTAAATTATAGAATTTATATAAAATCGAAAAATCGTGGTAGCAATGTTATTATTGTTTTCGTTTAATGTACGGAACGTTACGCATCGGTCTACTTAGTTGTGTCATCATTGAAAGAGATATATTAATAAACGCGAAACTGTTTTGTGCATTTGAAAAAGTCAAATTTTACTTTTTTTTTATATATAATTAACGACCAAATAATGTAAGTATATTTATAATTAATTACTTTTATTACATAAAATAGTACAATCTATTCATATTTGGCAATATTGAAACAATATAATGTTGTTATGTATTCCAAATTGCTTAGTTACTATGTGGAATGATACCACTGTGCCTATTATATGAAAAATAATAACAATTTATAGTATGATGTTTTTTTTGCTAGTTGAAAATAGATCTCAGGGATAAAGATATATTTTTTTTTTTTTGATTTGGAAATCCCTAGTGATTCAGAATGTGCTGTATGTCCAGAATGTATGAGAGCATTTTATACTAAATTAATAAAAAATTGACTACAGTATATATTATTTTGTTAAATACTTTTAAAATATGTTATAAAACTTATATTCAGTTAAAAAACTGAAGTTATCAGAAGTCTGAAATTTAAGAAAAATACCTAGTCTTATTTATAATTTTTTTAATATTATTTGTTTATTATTATTCAATATTAATCTTTTAAAATTTTTTTTCATATTTATAACTACAATTTTCCTGATTTTTTTGGTTCTTTGAGATTTTTTTTAATTTTAAAACGTTAATGGGACAAGAAAACTTCAGATTCAAATTCAGTGGAATAAAATACATAAAAATCATACTCAATCTGAATCCAAAAAATTGTTTTCATCTCAATAATTTCGATTTTTCATGATTTATTGCAATTTTTGGGTTTTTTTGCTATTTTTCAAATGTTAACAACTCAACGGGCTAATTAACGTTCAGATTCAGTTTCAGTAAATTGAAATACATAAAAATCATACTTGATCAGGGTCCATAAAATTTTTTTCATCGCTGTGACTGCAGTTTTTCGCAATTTTTTGCTTATTTTTTGGTTTTTTGCATTTTACTCAAATCTGAAGGGTGACAGGGCCAAACGGGCTTCAAATTCGGATTCAACGGGTCAAAATACATGTCCGTAGGTGGGTCTGGTCAAAAGTACAGACAACTTTTTTTTTTGTGTGCCGGTGTAATTGGTGTGCTTCCTGGCTAGTTTTTGGGCTTATCGTCCTTAATAAAAGTAATTAATTATAAATATACTTACATTATTTGGTCGTTAATTATATATAAAAAAAAAGTAAAATTTGACTTTTTCAAATGCACAAAACAGTTTCGCGTTTATTAATATATCTCTTTCAATGATGACACAACTAAGTAGACCGATGCGTAACGTTCCGTACATTAAACGAAAACAATAATAACATTGCTACCACGATTTTTCGATTTTATATAAATTCTATAATTTAGTGGTATCATATGATACCACTAAATAGCAATGTTATTTACCGTCCTTTAGTAGATATAGTGAAAAGGTAGTTGTGCTGGTGGCTGATGAGGAGCCACCCTTCAGTCTGCTACTTTGAGCTAAACTGTGCTGACGGGTCTAAACTCTACTCCTTTAATAGTTCACAAATTTGAAGGATTGGGGCTGATCAGTGTATCCAACGGGAGGACTTGAGAAAAGCTAAAAACGACGAACTCGTCGTCAAAGAACATTTGTTAATTTGTGTACGACTTTTTGTGTCTACGTCAGGATACTACCGACGTACGATAGCATTTATTGATAGCTTATGATTTATAGGAAAGTTTAATTTGTTTTTTTTTTTGTTATAATTAAAATAATATTATAGAAGAGAATGGTAAATCGAATTGACAAACAAAAAAACAAATTTTAAGATTAGCTATAATTAAATTTTTGTTTTACATTTTTGGCTTAGTAAATTTATTTTTACTATAGAATAATTTTTCTAGTTAATTACTAGAAATAATAAATACAAGATTAATTATTTTGGGTGTCTAAATTATTTAAAAGTTATTGTCTGTTATAATAAATAATTTATACAATGATGTGCAAAAGTAAAATTATATATAAAAAAATTAGTACTTAATAATAATATGCCTAATTTATAATGATTATTTATGAACTGTTTGTCATTTTAAAATTAATAAAATAGTTAATTAGAATTAATTAATAATGAAACAAATTATTAGTGTTAATATTTGTCTGTCAAAAAACTACGAAATATTTTACTTTTTATTTTTATAATATTTTATTTTATTGTGACTTAATTTAACAATAAGTTCTTTTTTATTGTTTTACATGATTTCGATGTTGGCATATGTGTCATAAAAATATATTTATAAAAAAATTCTAGTGAAGTCAGTTTTATAATGTTGAATAAACAAATTAGTAATGACATTTGAAAGCTCATTCGTTTCAACATATTTAAAAAATTAAATTTTCAATGAATATGTAAAAAATTAGTATTTGAATATACTTTAAATATTAAAGAGTACATATGTAGAAGTTATACTACACTTTTAGGACATGTAAAAAACTGACATATCTAGTTATATATAGTTATTAAAATGTGCAGCTGTCGGAGGAAGTGAGTTTTTAAAATTTTTTGAGAATCTTAATAAATAAGGAGTCAGGTTAAAAACAATAGAAATGTTGGGAATTTTTATTTTTAATTAATTGTAAACTCATATTAAAATATCATAAACTCTTAGCTTTATACAATGGATAATTCTTAAAATTTCTAATTATGTCTTGAAAAAAGTGTTAAATAATATTTTGATTTTTTAGGTTACAATGAAAAACGGTCGTAGATGGAGTACCAATTCAGCTTTTTTGTATCCAGCAAGTAAAAGAAAGAATTTACACGTAAAAAAATATAGTACAGTCACTAAAATTTTAATTGATTCAGTCTCAAAAACAGCAATTGGAGTAGAATATGTGAATGGACATAAAAAATATAGAGTTTATGCTAGAAAAGAAGTTATAGTATGTGGTGGTGCAATTAATTCACCACAATTGCTAATGTTGTCAGGCATTGGACCTGAAGCTCATTTGAAAGAAAAAGGCATTCCTGTATTGAGTAATTTACCAGTGGGTGAAAATTTAATGGATCATATATCATTAGGAGGTTTATTTATCTTAATAAATGATACCGTATCGATAAAAATGGATAGATTGTTAAAAGATCCGTTTACGATGTACAACTATACTACTGGTATAGATAGCACAATATCAGTAGCTGGTTGCACAGAAGCGTTGGCATTTTTTGATACAAAAAATCCAAATAATTCAGATGGCCATACCGATCTTGAATTGCTATTGTTTTCTTCTTCGTACACTTCTGATGTTTCAGCTCACAAATACTTTGGGCTTCGAACGGACATCTTTAATAAAGTTTATAATCCAGTTGCAGACAAAGACAGTTTTATAGTGTTTCCAATGGTCATGCGCCCTAAAAGTAAAGGTCGTATTTGGTTAAGAGATACGAATCCTTTCCACCATCCATTTATTGATCCTAATTATTTTTCAAACAAGGCCGATTTGGATGTGATAGTTGCTGGCGTTCGTATTGTTCAGCGAATGTTAAAGACAGACGCTATGAGAAAACTTGATGCCCAAATATTGACAACTCCGTTGCCTGGTTGTACCAAATACGTTTTTGATTCGAACGCCTATTGGAAATGTGCAGCCCGACAAATTAGTTATTCTATGTATCATTTATCTGGTACATGTAAAATGGGACCAGTTGGTGATCCCACTGCGGTAGTTGATCCAAGACTTCGTGTTCACGGTGTCAAGCGATTGAGGGTCATAGACGCTTCAATTATGCCTGAAATTCCAGCCGGTCACACAAATTCACCTACCATTATGATCGGAGAAAAAGGGGCAGATATGATTAAAGAGGATTGGGGTGCCACTATTGTAAATAATGTTTAGATGCAATTGAATATTTGATATTAATTATAATTTATTTAGGGGTAACTTTCGAAAGATACCCCTTCATATTAGGAATATTAATATATATTTGTCTTTTTAATTTAAATATATTTATTATGTTCAAGAAAAATTGTGTTATAAAAATAATGTTTTAATTAAAAATCTTAACAACTCATTAGTTGTTGTTGATAACATCCCTTACACATTTCTCAGTGATTCTCTAACAGCTCTGTTCATCTTTGCGTAAAAAAATCTCCATGAAATATTTAAAATTACTGGTTTCAAACTATTTTCGTTGAATTTTCAAATTTAAGAAGGAAGTGTTTTTAATAAAATTACTAATTACTTACACCGTATTTAGGATACTCTTATTTTTAATTAAAATTGCTTTTAGAAATATGTGAAAGATATATATATTGTAATTTTATTCCAATCACTATGGTCCATAGTGATAATACATAAAATAATATTGGATGAATCGTTAGTATATATTGCTTCTAGACTACTTTGCTTCAAGCAAAGACTAGACTAGTCGTCTAGCGTCATAATTACACATTGTTCAGTTGAAATTAAAGAAGTAGTAAATATTTTCAGCTGCAGTAAATCTATTGCACAAATTCTTGTCACAAATGCAAAGACCATTAAGATTGGTGAAAAAGGAGTTGATATGATTAAAGCAGAATGGGGTGTACTATTGTGAAGTTTTTTATAATTCTTAAATAGCAATTTTTAATTGCAATTTAGCCTTATTTATTGATAAATTAATAAAAGTAATAAATATATGGAACTCAAATATAATTGTTCGCTTTTTTCCTCATATAGTTTGCTATTTATTAAGTATACTACTGTATGATTTTTTCATAAAAATTGATAAGTTGACTTCACCAGTGAATGAATAATTAATTTTTTTATCTATAAAAGTTCTTTTTCTAATTATATTTTGATGTCACACTAAATTATATATATGTTACCTAGAAAATAATGTATAATAATAAAATAAAAATATTTATAATTAATTAACAAAAAATTGTAATTTATTATTTCATTTTGGAAATTAAAATTTTCCAATGAACTTATTTTTATTTTTTACTATTAAATGTGAATGGTTAATAAAATGTTAACTAGTTGATAACCAGATTTGTATTATTTATATTATGAGATATTAGCATTTGAGGACATAGAAATGGTAATGAGTGGGGTAGTATTAAGTGCAGCTTTACTTTATTATAACGCACAGATAAAATTTCTTCTAAAATGCGTTCCCTTTCACTCTCACAGTACTCCTCTCACTACTCTATAATAATTATAAAAAATTCACATTACTATAGTTCACTTTAATTATAAGGTGAGAAAACTACGCAGATAAAAATTATGTGTAGTTATAATATTAAGTTATAGGTGAGCGGAGGGCGCAATTTAGAAGAATTCTTACGCTATTCTATCTAATAGTAAGAAAATAATAACTTAACTTTCAAAAATGACCCCTAAAAATCTATTCTAGGAATTCCAAGGTAACAATGACTGCAACCAATATAGATAATTATTTTTTAGTAAATAGTTATTTTATAGTTGTCATATGTTTAAAGAAGAAGTGATATGTATAATACTTTTAAATTATAAGTATTATACATACTATAGTTATAATTAAAAGTTTTAATAATATTGCGACTATAAAATTTGTGTATGTAACTTTCGAGATACCAAACCAAAGTAAAGGTAAAAAATTTTTTAGAAAAAATCATTTAAAAAAACGGTAGCACAGTGGGGTCGCGGCATAGTGGAGACATTGCATAGTAGGGTCCAGTAAAGATTTAATCTGACAGTGATTAAAATCACTATCATAAGAAACGCTTCGATGCAAATCTGTAGATAGTGTTTAATTTAAAAAAATTGATGGATAATTGCAAAAGCAACATCAAGTTCTAGTAAAATAAAATACAAAACCCATAATTATCATACAAAAATATTTTTCAATATGGTAGCCATTTGCGTATAGAAGATAGATCGTCGGGACAAATTTTTTTTTTTCATTTTGTAGTACATAAAATAAGCTTTAATTTTATATATGTTTAAAGGACGCAGTATTTCCGGAACATTTTCAAAAATTAAGTTGAAAAAGTTATTTTTTGTAAAAAAGTTACTATTTTAAATCCTCCCAGTGAGCAGAATAAGTGTTAGATTTTCAAAAAAAATTATATCAAATGAAAGGGAAATATCTAAGGTTTCAATACAAAAAAATATTATTTTTATTTGTTCATTTTTGAAAAAGTTATGGCAGTTTTAAGTACAAAAAACATCCCGATAAAATGTAATTTTTATCGCAAACATTACATTTTTTTTTAAATTTTCGACAGCCATTTGCACATAGAAGATAAGATGTCGGGACAAATTTTTTTTTTTCATTTGATAGTATATAACATAACCTTTGATTTGATATATGTTTAAAGGACGCAGTATTTCCGGAACATTTTCAAAAGTTCAGTTGAAAAAGATCTATGTTTTTTACAATATTTTAAGTTTTGAACGCCCCCTATATAAGGGGAAATTGTCCAATTTTAATAAAAAGTATGTCAAATGAAAGATGTACTTATAATGTATTTAGAAAAAAAAAATTTGTGCTGATATATACATTTTTCAAAAAGTTATAGCATTTTTAAGTTGAAAATTTAAAATCGAAAATCGAAAATTTTAACACAAAAATAGTGTTTTTTTAACTACGGCAGCCGTTTAAATGTAGAAAAAAAAGTGTCGGGAAAAATTTTTTTTTTCATTTTGTAGTACATAAAATAAGCTTTAATTTGATATATGTTTAAAGGACGCAGTATTTCCGGAACATTTTCAAAAGTTCAGTTGAAAAAGATCTATGTTTTTTACAATATTTTAAGTTTTGAACGCCCCCTATATAAGGGGAAATTGTCCAATTTTAATAAAAAGTATGTCAAATGAAAGATGTACTTATAATGTATTTAGAAAAAAAAAATTTGTGCTGATATATACATTTTTCAAAAAGTTATAGCATTTTTAAGTTGAAAATTTAAAATCGAAAATCGAATATTTTAACACAGAAATAGTGTTTTTTTAACTACGGCAGCCGTTTAAATGTAGAAAAAAAAGTGTCGGGACAAATTTTTTTTTTTCATTTTGTAGTACATAAAATAAGCTTTAATTTGATATATGTTTAAAGGACGCAGTCTTTCCGGAACATTTTCAAAAATTAAGTTGAAAAAATTAATTTTTGTAAAAAAGTTGCCATTTTAAATCCCCCCCAATGAGCAGGTTAAGTGATAGATTTTCAAAAAAATGATATCAAATGAAAGGTAAATATCTAAGGTTTTAGTATAAAAAAAAAT